AGTACAAAATTAATTATTCATTTTTAACTTAAAAACATGGTTTTATTTCGAGAAGATCTCCCCCGGACGACGGACTTTGTCTTTACGTAGCCCAACTCGAGGGTGTCCCTCTCTCTCTAACATTCATGAAGGTCTACAGCTGTTTAACGCCACAGTTATTCATTAATTTGTGATGTTGCTTAATTTGATTTTCATTAAAATAAATATGTTGCCATTAATATAACGATAAATATGGTTGCCATTTAAAATAAACAACTGAAAGTCTGGAAAAAGAAATAAGAGACCTCAGCTGTTTGACCGCCCATAAACCTCCCATATTATATACGTATCGATAAAAATACGTACAGTTTGAAACAAACAACAATGCCTAGTGTATTTAACTATAAAAAAATCGGTATATTTGGATCATAAATCGTTGCAATTGTACATTTTCAATTTTTTCTGGACATTGGACTGTTTCCAAAGGGTGATTTACCTCGAAATATATGTGTAAATAAACGTTTGTATATGATTATAATATCACTGGAAAAAAAATACATTTTTAAAATGATTTTCTTTACCAAGTTGTTTATGATAAAGTACTCATTGTATTATTTTGTGCATATATTTTTATTTAATTGTATTACAATCTACGTCATATCGCCTAATCGGTTTGCTGTCATCACTGGCAAAAACCTTAAAGAAATTTTTTTGGAAAGACGCAAATCACATTTTGAAGTCTTCAATGTCATTCTTTTCAATCAATTCCGGTTCAGGCGACATCGCTTTACCACTCATTGCATCATTCCTTGAGCGAAAAAAAAACTGCTGCTTGGGAGCTTTCCTATTCGTGAGGCATGCCTTCGATCGAGCATGGGACTCGGGCTGCTCTGGAAACGACATCATTCCATTCCCTTATTACCCCATTCTATAACATCATGTCGGTCTGATAGGTAATTTTCAATGAGTAAAGTACGTGCTACAATGGATGGTCCCATTGTTTAATTACTTTATATTTCATATATATATCAATCCCGATGTACTATTCGTCAAATATTCAGAGGAGGCTTGGTAATTGCCTTCAGAATCATGTTTCGTATTTAGAAGAATGATTCAAGAAATAAAGGTTCACCCTTCGCCGAATCATCTCACCTTCCATACGCTACATCACTATTGCTCTCCTATTATTGTATCATAGGTACGTAGTCAGAATTTTAAAACGTTTTCACATGTTAAAAAACAAAAAACCTCTGTCTCCACTACTATTTTAACTATGTGCATATAAACTGACGGGCAAAAAGTTCCGCCCTCTTGTAATATAACTTGATTTGTATATATTTTTATGAATTAATCAAATCATCAGACTTTTTAACGTTTAATAATTGAGTCTTTGAATAAAAAAGTTTAAAAAAAAACGAAAAATGCTAAAATAAAAAATAAAAAAAGTAAAAAACAGACGGACAAATATAATTTGTTTTAATTTTGTTTAATTAACATTTCAATGTCGCGAATTTTCTGCTCTTGCGTTAATAGCATCTAGAAGACGGCTCGGCATACTTTCTACCAGTTTGGAAATGTCTCTTTGCTGGTGGTTAGCCCATTCTTCACGAAGAGCCCTTTCAAGTTGGGGGGTGTATCAGGAAGCGATGGCTTTGCTCTTCTTCGCTTTTTGAGGTTACCCCATAAATGACCATTTGGGTTCGTTGGGAGAACGGGCTGGCCAGGCAAAGACCCCGTTGTTATGTTGTTGACGGCACGTTTGTACTATGCGAGGGACGTGTGGACAGACATCAACTTGCGTAAGAATAGGATTGACGGCAATGTCTTCGAGGATGGCAACGCGTGATGTTCCAAAATTTCATCCACATAGCGAGTGGCCGTCAAAGACCCTCCACGAACAACAATCAACTCTGTGCGACTGTCCGCCCGAACCATCACTAAGCTACATCAAAAAGGCTGTGGGAAAAATTATAGGCTTCGATACTTTCACTTCACCTTCTCCACACTCTTGCACGCCCATCTGTAAATTGTAGAGCATACCAATCGTCCAAAGAACAATGATTGTGTTCTCAAGCAAATGCGATCCGTGCAACTCTCTGTGTTCTCGTCAATTTTGGTCTTATTTCGGAGTGAAAAGCCAGCAGTCCATACTGATTTCATCTTCCTCGAGCCGTGCGATCAGAAATTTGGACACCTCGAGAATTTTCTGGAGCTGAAGAATCTCTTGAAGTAAGGTGCCAGTTTCGCAAAATTCTCAAAGTCAAAAAACCGTCATCATTTTCTTATGTTACCCTAGGCCGTCCAGAACACGGCATTCTATGGTAGGACCCAGATTCCCAAAAACGTCTAACGGCGTCTCGCACAGTTTCGTAGGGAACTCCGATGGTAATAGCCGCATACGTGATGCAGCCTCCATCATAAATAAGTGCCACGCCATACTCAGGACTAAGTGGAATTTTTAGTTTATAAAATTGAAATTTAACAAACAAAGATGAAAACTAAACAATTTATTGCTTCAGAATTCAAATGTGACTGAATAAACATTTTAAATTTCGTAAAAATTAAACATTAAAAAATCCTCTATCCTTGTTTTGGAATAAGAATTAAGTGTGGTTACGTCTAATTGATATTCCAATTTAAAATCATAGCATAAACAAATATTTATTGATAAAAAAATGAGAGAAATTAAGGTCAGAATTTTCTTTTATCGAGAAATTGAAAAAAAAAATCTGTTGAGTGTAATGTTTTGCCTGTCAGTGTATATGCAACTTAACTCTAATAATAAATAAGTATTAAAATACATTTAACGGGTACATCACATCATACATATATTACTACATTTAATTTGGACGTACGGAATTGAACTGTGGGGATCAAACTCCAAAAAATCCAGTCGTTCCAGTCCAAAACCATTCGAACCATCGCCCAATCTTTATTTCGTACCAACCTCACTTTCCACAGAAACATTTAAATCTTATTTGTCCTCAAAACTCAAAACAACAGTTGAATCTGAATTAAATACCAACAACCTATATACCTATAAACCTATAGTCTATCAATTTTCATCCCGAATCTTTCCCGACAACCTTTTAAGAAGCCTAAAGCGCCTCGTGTTTTCCTCCCTAATGAGGAAAGTGAATATTGTCTTAGGAGTGTAATTAACTTTCTAACAATGATGCTTGTCGCACTCTAATGTTATTGTCACCTAACATTTAAAAAATCGATTATACAAGCAAGGAATGTACAATGCTCTCGCGCCAAAATATGAAGTTTGTCCACTTTGAAATCGAAATTATAAATAGAAAAAAAAAAGTTTGTTTACAATGATGCAGGGTAGTAGTACTAGTAATGTATTTCTCGATCATAATATTTCATAACTTCTTTCATAAGAAATGATGTAGATGGATAGCTAGATAAGATATTAATTTCCACAACATCGTGTCTCAATAAATATTTCTTATGTGACATTATTTCTGCTTTCTACCAAGGTATGCTTGTACTTCATTTATCGTGTTATACATAAAATTATTTGAAAACGACGACAAGTTTTGTTTCCATTAGGAATCGTCCACAATAGATGTCGAAATGGAGGACCCGTTTCGCTTGTGCCTTTCCTCTCCGGAAATAAAACCTGTCGTAATTCCCCGCGTTTCAATCTAGGGGTTGTTTTGTGGCGCTGAGCGGGTGTCTAATGGCACATAGCAAATGGCAGTCATTTCCACTCGCTATCTTGGATTGGACAGCCCATTGACCCGATCCAAGACAGCTATACCACTCGTCCGTCAGGCTCACGTTTATAAATAACTAAATAAATTTACACATCTGAGCTCATAAATACATAGTTGTTTCTATATGATAAAAGACATACGAGACCATAAAACATTTTCTATGTTATAAAAACTGCTATAGTTTATATATTACAATAACCAGGATGTCAAACATGTTAACAGAAAGTTAGGATGTTAAAATACATACTTTTCCGGAAAAAAAAGTGCGAAGCTGGTCTTATCATTGGACGTATAACAGGCATAGAAAGCACCCGGCCGGGTTAGCTTTCACTGTATGTGATGTATACCTGAGAAAATGAAAAACCTGAATTTTTAATCTTTCAAGGAGGAAAGAGTGTTTATTTTTCTACAAAAAACAAAGCCCATTGCTAGGTGCCACGTAGTATATAGGCCGGAGATACGCCTAACCATTCAGCAACCCTGACCATTTTTTTTTTCGTCACGAGGCTTTGAAATATTCATTTCGTAATGACATAAGCCGCATTCTTCTTCATCGAAACTGAATTCTTTTTCAATCATCGTACCAGGAGCGACTAATTTAAAATTATTAAATAATCATAGCTTTCCAAAGTCCGTGACAGATCTCCAGACGCCTCCATTGTGGCTGACCATGTTACATCCTTGTTTTTTTTTTTCAAAATCTATTCAAACCACATAAATATATTTTTAAAATATGATTTATTGTTATAGATGTGATCCAGAAAATAGAAATTGGCATTGGACTTAATACATAACATTGGAAACGTGGAACCGTTTGTAAAGGAAATTGTATCTAATTTTAGATTTAAACAAAATTGGTAAGTGATTGGGTTGGATTTTATTTAAAAACTGGACTACTTTAATATTTTTAATTAACTCTTAGTCAATCCTCTATTGATTATCTTACAACAATATTTCGACCGTTTATACATTAGCGATAAATAAAATAAATTTTATACGACACGGCTTAATAAATTTTTTTCCGGACAATTGGTATGTCGTGTTTTTAAATGAATTGTGATTGGATTGACTGGTCCAGTATAACAAATTGGTTGCGTATATATAAAAAGAGATTTTTTATGTATTTAATTCTCCCACGTTGGAGATGATTTGTTTTTTAAATCATACGATTTAACAAATGTAAACATTTGTGTTGTTTAGTTGACATTTTAGAGTAGGGAATTTCTTTATTTTCTTACAGGATCGTTTGCAAGTTCTAATCATTTTGAATTTGAGTGAGTTGACCATTCAGAGATGACGACGGGTACTGAGTTCCGGTGGAGTGCCGTGGACGCTAAGGAACAACCGCCGGACCTGCCCCCTTTTGAGACGAAGCATTACATCAAGAGGCAGCCGGTTGTGAAATACACGGACATGCCGGACAAGATGAAGAAGGAGGTGCTCGCCATCTCGCACAAGGCAATGGCAAAGTACTACAACGAGGTCGACATAGCTGTTTACATCAAGGAACAACTGGACCAGAAGTTCAGGGGCGGACTGTGGCAGGTGATAGTCGGAAGGGACATGAACGTCAGCTGCAACTACGAGACCGGAAAGTACATTTACTTCTATTTGGGACACCTTGGATTCATCGTCTACCGCTCGGGCGCTCTTTAAATTAACAATTGAATAAATCTATCTATCACATTTATTAATATTTAAAGTTAGCTTTACCAGCTGCCCTCCAAACAATAAAACATAGTCTCTCTTTTTGAAACTCTGAAAATAAACCTACGTAACATTCACCTAACCTATTCCTAATAAGAATTAAGAGAATCTGCAAAAAACAACAAATGACAATTTTAAGTTTAGTCCATTAATCTCAGTTTGTCTTACTTTTTAGACCATACAGCAACACTACATTCTAGTTGTCATACAGTATTAATTTATTCAAACTTTCTTCATTATTTTAACAATTATGACTGTACCAACATCAACCAGGAGCTTCTAAATTTGTCCATTTTTTATGTACTATAGTTAAAAGGTTTTTTCATTGTTATGGTTAGATTTTTGGTAGGAGGCACATTTGAACATTTTTGGTTTGAACGGTATGAAACAGTTATTCTTCTTAGCGGTTATATCAGTCTTTTTCTTTATCAATCGTTAAAAACACACCTTTAAATTTTACTGCTCTCTCTCTCTCTCTCTGTCTCTCTCTCTCTCTCTCTCTCTCTCTCTCTCTCTCTCTCTCTCTCTCTTCCTTCTTTCTTTTTTCTCTATCTATTACTTTTAGAATCATTTCTTGTTGTTATTGACCTCTCATTATTTCTATACCATTTTGACCTTTCTCTTTCACTCTTCTTTGCTATGCCTCACATTTCTACTCTCATACTCCTTTTTTCTCTCCCTTGTCATTTCGCTCCGTCCTATCTGCTCTTCTGTCCTACTCTCTCTTTCTAGCTCATCTTCCATATATCAATATATATTTCTTGCTTTATGTCTTTTCCACATTCTTTTTCATATTATTTATCTTTTTTCTCTCTTTCGTTTTCTTTAATTCATTTCTACCCATTCTTTCTATAGAAATTTTTTACGTAAAACCTATTCATTCGTTCTCTTTTCTACGAATATTACTTTTTTAGACGTAGTGTTACTCTCTCTCTCTCTCTCTCTCTCTCTCTCTCTCTCACTCTCTCTCTCTTTCTCTCTCTCTCTCTCTCTCTATCTATCTATCTCTGTCTCTTTCTCTCTATATCTCTATCTCTCTCTCATTTTCTGTTTTCCTTTCTCTCCCTTTTCACTCTCTCTCTTTCTTCCTTTCTTTCTTTTCTCTCTCTATTACTTTTACTATCATTTCTTGTTGTTATGGTCCTCATTATTTGTATATCATTTTGATCCTTCTCTTTCACTCTTCTTTATTATTAGCCTCACATTTCTACTCCCATACACTTTTTTGTCTCCCTTGTCATTTCGATCTGACCTATCTACTCTCTACTACTAGCTCATCTTCCATATGTCAATATATATTTCCTGCTTTATACCTTTTTCCAGATTCTTTTTCATTTTATTTATTTTTTCTTTATCTTTCTTTTTCTTTTATTCACTTCTACCCATTCTTTCTATAAATTTTTTAACGTAAAAACCTATTCATTCGTTCTCTTTACTATGTATCTTACTTTCTTCAGACATAGTGTTATTCACTCTCTCTCTCTCTCTCTCTCTCTCTCTCTCTCTCTCTCTCCTCTTTCTGTTTTCCTTTCTCTCTCTTCCCTCTCTCTCTCTTTCACTCTCTCTCTATCTCTTTCTGTTTTATTTTCTCTCCCTTCTCTCTCTCTCTCTTTCTCTCTCTCTCTCTCGCTCTCTTTCTCCTCTTCTCCCTCAATTTTAAGAGAGGATGTGCGTGACCGAAATTTGCAAGATTCATTCATTCATTCTCTCTATCGCACATTCACCTCTATCGCTTTCTTTTCTTTCTTTAAACCAATTTCTCACTCATTTAATTTCTCTCTCTCTCTCTCTCTCTCTCGCTCTCTTTCTCCTCTTCTCCCTCAATTTTAAGAGAGGATGTGCGTGACCGAAATTTGCAAGATTCATTCATTCATTCTTTCTCTCTATCGCACATTCACCTCTATCGCTTTCTTTTCTTTCTTTAAACCAATTTCTCACTCATTTAATTTCTCTCTCTCACTCTCTCTCTCTCTCTCTTAAATTTTCACAACGTTATTTTATTTCTTATTTATCCTTCAATCTACCGCCCCTCTTATACACTATAGATCTACATACTCATTGAATTATACATCTTTATTTTTGTTAGAATGTGTCCTTTTTTATGTGTACTTGATCTTTCTGCCATTTGTTCACCACGTACCTGCCTGTGAGTTATTGTTGAACTATATAAAAATCCTAAATAAGATTACATTAATTATATTTTATATATTTGCTATTCTCTTTATATAACAATGAAGAAGGAACGTGCATGCAATATAAATCGGTTGTTTGCTACCTTTTGTCTTCTTTCAAACAAAATGTCCAACGGCTATATAAATAGATATCGTTAGTTTAAAATTTAACAATATTTTTTCAAAGTGTTTTTGAGAATATTATGAGAAAAAACATGTGATTTTATATAGTAAAAAAATTCGAAGTTATTTATTTCTAATAAATCAATAAAACCGTGTTTCTCTTACTTAAATACTTTTAAAAGCGATGAAAGTCATCGGAAACGGGTAAAAAATATTGCTATGAAAGAGCTACAGATTTATGTTTTCCCTCCTCGTTCCATATAAGGTCGAGATTGGAAAAAGCCGCTCCATTCGTCAATGCCAAATGGCCAAAGAAGACTAACCGCGTGTCTTCCGAATATAAAGGAAATAAATTGAACTGTTTTACCCATTCAAAGACCGGCCGATTGTTTTTCAATTATGTTGTGTTCGCCGTCTGGAGAGGCGGAGCCCTATAAACAACCGGGTTGCCCAGATCCGTCTTGGGCACCCCCTCCGCACTCAATCTTTTACATACAAGCCTGGAACGTTTTCAAATTGTTCCACCCTCCGGAACGTTATTGCATTGCGGCGTCGAGCATAAGCCCCTACGCGTGACCTTCCTTCCGTTCCCCTTGAAAAATAAAGGAGAATTTATAGTATTATACACAAAACCTCAAGTAGGTTAAGTAGAAAAACACCCCAGCCTGCTTTTATTTTTGAAAACACTATATATCCTACCGCATAAACCAGTCTGAGACTAAACCAGACAGAGACTATGTTAAGAAAGCCGACTATTTTAAATTGTACATATAACGCTTGGTTTATCTACTATATTTATGTCTTTTGACAGATACAAAACAATAAAATAAAAACAGTTGTTTCAAAATGTAGCTCTGTTCATAAATACCAATAAACATTTCTTAAAAAATATTCAACTACAAGACTGCATTTTTGCTAGAGTGTTAGTTGTTAGTTATTCATTTTACAATATAATCAGTTAGACAATTTTATAACTATATGACTGTTATTATTGAACTCTCGTTATTTTTTCCTACATGGGGAAGACTACAAACGTATGCAATATTTACATACTTTAAGAAGAAGAAGATAAATAATTTTATTCTGGGACTGGTGTCCTCTAAGAATAATTTACATGAAATAAATAAAGCAAGTTCCTTCTATGAAATTAAAAGTAAAAAAATACAGAAATCTTGGCACAATGTATACCAGTAAGGCAGGCCAAAAGAGAAAATTACAAGAATATTAAACAAAAATAACAAATGTTAACGTGAGGTCTCTGCTTGAAAGGAGAGGAGGTCATTATACAGGTGGGATCTCTAGGAGGAAAAGGAGACAGCGTGACGAATAGAAAGGGGAAGGGAGTTCCAGAGTTTACGGGCTCGGATCAGAAAGGATCTTTCGAAGGTATGGGTTGTATGTTGCGGAAGGATAAGGTCGATTGGGGATGAGCGGGTCTTACGAGTGAGATTTGAGGAGTTGAATTGGAGGGATTGGATGATGTAAGGAGGACGACGAGTGTGGATGGACTGGAAAAGAAAGTAAGCTAAGAAATACTACCGGAAGGAGGGGAATAGCCAGGAAAGTAAGGAATACAACCCCGACACCCGGGATCCCCAAATCTTACGCAACAATTCATAACACCCTTCAATCGCGCGTTCTCACCCCTCCGAGAGACCACTGTATGCTACACAGCTATAATCGAAGAAGGGAAGTATAAGGGAAGATACAATGAGTTTGCGGGTGGAGAAAGGTAAGAGAAGCCAGGACCGACGAAACAGGCTGAATGAGGCAATGCAATGGCGGGAAATGTGGAAAATGTGAGAATGCCAGGAAAGGTTTTGGTCAAAGACTACTCCTTGGTTTTTAACCGAGGAGCAGAAGGGGATGGGATGGTTATTTAGCATGAGAGGTGGGATGCTGGGGAGGGAATTGAGGAGTTGCTTGGACCTGATAATTATGGCGGGGGATTTGGACGGATTGAGGACTAGGGAATTTTTATGGTCCCATTCGTTGATGGAGTTTAGGTCTTTTTGGATCTTGAGAATGGCCGAGTGAAGATCGGAAGGGTGGAACGATTGGATATTTGGGAGTCATCGGCATATAGGTGATAGTTACAGGACTGGATGGAGTCGGGGAGGTCATTAATATAAATGGAAAAAAAGGATAGGAGAGATGCTAGAGCCTTGGGGCACCCCAGATTTTAGAGGGAGGAAGGAGGAGGTAAGGCCATTGGGAAGGGAAACAGCTTGGTGGCGATTGGTAAGGTAGGAGTGGAACCAACGGATGGTGCTGGCGGAGAAGGAAAATGATTCGAGTTTAGAGAGGAGAGAAGAGTGAGGGACAGAATCGAAAAAATCAAGAAGGACAAGTATAGTAACTTTCCATTGGTCCATTGCTAAGTGGAGGACACTGGTAATTTTTATTAGTGCTGATTGGGTGGAATAACCTTGGCTGAAGCCAGATTGAAGGGGGTTGAAAAGATGGGACTGTTCAAGGTGCCTGGAGACTTGTGTTTGGACTAATCTTTCTTGGGGCTTGGACAGGTTTGAGAGGATGGAAATGGGACGGTAGTCTGTAGGGGAGGATGGGTTGGGGTTTTATTGACAGGGTGGAGATGGGCTTTTGCCAGGCTGTCGGAAAAACAGAGTTTTGGAGTGAGTAGTTATAGATGTG